TGTTGTGGTACAAAACTGTCACCCCCAAAATACTCCCCCTTGGCACCAGCCACCCCACCCTGGATCCCTGACTGTCCCTCCCAGATGCTGAATAGGTGGAGCCCTATAGCCTGGGGGTCTGGCTTCCTTGACTCTGCAGTGAAGTGGGACCCCCCTGGTATGTCAGAGTGGCCTTCCCTTGGCTGCTCATAGCTCTGGGGCAAGGACATTGGGTTGCTGTCCCTTTGTGGTAATTAACAACTAAGCAGCCATGAAACACCTATGGCTTTTGTGTGAACGTAAATCTCATTTATCCTGGGTAACAACCCAGGAGAAGAATTGCTGGGCTGTGTGAAAGTATGTTTGGCATGGAAAGAAAGTACCAGGCTGTTTACTCAAGTAGCGTGTGCTCCTTGATGCATGGCTGGAGTTCCACTCTTTCACCCTCTCCAAAGCCTGGTGGTAGTGGTTTTTGAATCCCAGCTGTTCAGGTGGACATGCAGTGGGATTCGCTGTGGTTTTGATTTGTACTTCCCTAGCAACTGCTGATGGGGAGCACATTTTTTATGGGCCCGTTGGCTGTCCATGTCTTTGGTGAAGAATCCAGATCTCTTGGGTTTTGTTTTGTTTTTTTGAGTGGCTGACACCTTTTTGTTTTGTTTTTTTCAGTGCTAGGGATTGAGTCCTTAAGTGCTGCCAAGGCCTCTGCCCCTCAGCCTCAGCCCTTGCCCCTGGTTTTTCCTGTTCTTGAGAGTTCTTTGTATGTTCTGGACACAAATCCCTTGTCAGATATGAGTTGTGCCTCTTGTGTCGTGAGTGAGGAATTTTTGCTTTAAAGACACAAAGGTTTCCTGCTGTTTTCTTCTCCAAGTCTTACAGTTCAGGATTCTACAGTGGTCCGAGCTGAGGTGTGTGTTGTTCAGTTTCTTTCTTTTTTGTGGCTCTGGGGAGGAAGCCCGGGCCTCCCATGCCAGGCAAGTGCACTACCACTTCCCTGCAGCCTGCACTCTTGCCTGAGCCCCAGGAGGGGCTGGAATCGAGGTGTACCCCACTGCACCCATCCGAGCTCACCATCCTGCAACATACCTGTTGTAGGCCTGGGTTCCTAGTCCACAGAGGGTCCCCAGTTATTCCAGGGCCACTGGTTTTGTGTCTCTGGCTTGGATATCAAGGCGAGGTGGCCTTCCAGGACGAGTTGCAGCCCCCTTTGCCTGCTGGAAGGTGGTGTGTGGATCCAGCATTGCTTCTTAAGACATCTGGTGGGTCACAGGGAATCTTACATTTCCTGTGGAGGACTGTCACCATAGGGAGGGATGGGTTGACACCGTGAAGCCATGCTGATGAGGGCTCCAGTGTCGCCGGGCACGGTGGCCCACACCTGTGATCCCAGCAACTCGGGAGACTAATGCAGGAGGATCGCAAGTTCAAAGCCATCTTCAGCAAAAATGAGGCCCTAAGCAACTCAGTGAGACCCTGTCTCTAAGTAAAATACAAAACAGGGCTAGGGTGTGGCTCAGTGGCTGAGTGCCCCTGAGTGCAATCCCTGGTATACCTCCTGCCTCACCAAAAAAAAGAGGGCTCCCGTATCTCCCGCAGCAAGACTCCCTAGGAGCTGCTTCCTGACGGTGTGTCCTCCACAGGTGCTATCTTTGGATACAAACATCACCAATCAGGTGAACAAGCTGAACCGAGACCTGCTTCGCCTGGTAGAGGTTGGTGAGTTCTCCGAGGAGGCCCAGTTCCGAGACCCCTGCCGCTCCTATGTGCTCCCCGAGGTGATCTGCCACAACTGCAACTTCTGCCGGGACTTGGATCTGTGCAAAGATTCCTCCTTCTCCCAGGTGGGCTGGTTTGGGTATGGGGCAGACGAAGCTGAGGCCATGGTCCTGCCATCCTGCTGTCCACCCTGCTGCCTGCTGGCTCCCACAGGTCAGCTACAGGCTCCTCTTGAGCTGTTTATGCCAGAGGTTGTCCAAAGGTGGGGGCCCCACAGGTGATGAGTGCCTCCCCCCGGCGCTTCTCCCTCCAGCCTCTTCCCCCAGCTTTGTGGTGGAGGCTGCAGACATGCTGTGGCCCATGGGGCTGTGGCCACCACTCAGGCCCTCACCCCTTACCCTGCTGTCCTAGGATGGAGCTGTCCTGCCTCAGTGGCTCTGCCCCAACTGTCAGGCCACCTATGACTCAGCTGCCATCGAGATGGCCCTGGTTGAAGCCCTGCAGAGAAAGCTGATGGCCTTCACCCTGCAGGACCTGGTGAGCTCCCTGTGGTCAGCACAGGAGTTTCTGGACACAAACTTGGCACTGCGGGAAGCTGACCTATGCATAGGTCACCCTTGTAACCTTGGGGAACCACCCCAGCAGTCAGTCCCTGCCCCTGAGTCCAAGTGACAACGTTCTATTGACATCTGTTGGCCCTGCCCTTCCAGGAGGGGGTGTGGGTGCAGCAAAGGCTGCTCAAGAGAGCATCAGGAGCAGGGGCTTCCACAGCACCTGCAGCCAGCACTGGGTCCTCCCAGAGACAGGCCTGGTTGACAGCTGGCATGGACAGAGGAAGCCCCAGGACTTGGTGTCTACAGCCAGGTGCCTGCAGCAGGGCCAGTGATGTGGGAAGGAGCCGACGAGATTTTGGTGTCATTTATAACAGATCTGAGTTGCGAGCAGCAGGGAGGTGAAGCTTATGTCCTCTCAACAGCAAGGACAGAGCTGCTGGTGGGTCTGGCATGGGGACAGGCTGCTGCCTCTTTTCAGGTCTGCCTGAAGTGCCACGGTGTGAAGGAGACCCACATGCCAGTGTACTGCAGCTGTGCCGGGGACTTCACCCTCACAATCCGCACTCAGGTGGGCGCAGTTGCCTGCTCAATCCTCGGCTCCTTTCCCTGGTAGGACCAGGTGTCACTGTGTCTTGTCTTACAGGTCTTCATGGAGCAGGTTGGCATCTTCCGGAACATTGCCCAGCACTACAGCATGCCACACCTCAAGGAGACCCTGGAGTGGCTGCTGCAAAAAAGCCCTCAGCCAGACCACTAGCAAGCCCCAGCCCTAGACACCGCATCCTTACAGGCACCCTCTGCTCCCCGTGATGTCCCACTGACCACCTGACTTCCAGTCTCTTGGAAAAGCAGACCGTCCAGGGAATGGGGTAGACCACCGAGAACATGCCAGGGAGTGCAGAGGTGGCGTGAACAAGCTGGAGCGGGGAATGACCCTGTCCTCCACATTGCTGCAGGCCCCCTTCTGAGACAGGTCTTCAGGCAAGAAGCCTCTTGGGTCCTGAGGGGTCATTTCTGCCAATAAACACACTTTGAAGCCTCTGTTGCTTTCTGCACCTGCCAATGAGGTGGACAGGAGTCTTACTTGTTCAGTGGAAAACAAATGCCTGTGAGGGCCAGGCTTTTGCTTCTCTTTGTCTGCCAGAATCAGGAGGGGAGGGTCCTGGTAGACCTGTAGGTTGGTGAGCAAGGCCTGAGAACCCACAAGGAAGGGCTCTAGGTATGTGGTTTTTTTAGGGACCTCCTTAACATTCTGTTTCAGCCTGGAAGTCGGAAAAGTACTTTCTCACATGCAAGATTTAGGCTCTTTGTGAAGGGAGGATGAGAGAAGAAGAGGAAAAAAGCAGTCCCAGGGCAGCTTCAGGGACCCGCCCACACTCCCAGGAGTGACCTGGCCTGTGACCTGGCATATTCTGAGGGCTGTACCCCAGGTGCAGGTGTAGAGGCTCCCTGCGTGCGCTGAGGCTGGTCCACCTGTACAACAGGACTTGCCCTCCCACTCTGCCAGGTACCCACCCCCTGGACTTGCTGCGCATCTTCCTCTAAGCCAAGTGTGGCCTTTTCTTGCATAGGCCCAGGCCACTTTATCAAGGCAGTAGACAAGTGTTAAATAAAACATAAACCTGCAACCCCCCAGGACTCAGGCCTGGCAGAGGGGTGGGTGCCCTGGGGCCAAGTGGCAGTTCACTCCAGACCCTCCCTAAAGTTCCTCCTGCTGTCACTCAGCTGTGCCTTTTCCACACTTTTGTACAAAAAGGTGGAGGTCTCTGGAAGGGTGGAGGGCTGAGCTTCTCTCCCCAGGCCGTTTGAACCCTGAGAGCTCAGGCTGCCTTTGGGGAGAAATCCGATGCCCGCCTGGTCCTGCTGGCTTGGAATGTGGACTGAGCCGAGCTGTGCTGAGACCTCCTGAGTGGGGATCAAATCAAATTAGGGCGAGGGAGAGGAGGCGGGGCAGCTAACTAGGCTTCCTGGAAGTGAAGCTGGGGAAGATGGGGGAGGGACAGTTGGGTACAGCAGGACAGGCTAGCTGGGCACAACTGAGACAAGAAACCTGAGCCTCGGGCCCTGGTTCCTGAGCTGCAGCCAGGGACCCAGTGGAAAGGCCAGTTTCTCTAAAACTAGAGCAGACATCTTGTGAGCCAAATACGAGGATGTCACAGGTGTTTGGTGACCCATGGAGGCTGGAGTTGCATGAGTGCTGGGAGCCAGTGTTCCACTATTTAAAAAGACCACCAGGTGTAAGGACTCAGGAGCTGGGACCAAGGCCCATCTAGACTCAGGCACTGACAAAGGTCTTCCCAGCTCTTTGGCCTTGGAAGGACATACCACCCTGAGACCTGGTGTACTGGTCTATGGGGTGGGGTACCATCTGCCATGGGCATTCTGCACAGCGCCTTGCCACTCTCTAGACATTCACCGCAGAGTCACATCCTGGTCTCAGTCCAGCAAGCGCCACCACACTGACACAGCACCCTTGAGGATGCAGTAACCAGATTATCCTCTGGCCCCAACATCCCTAGTGCCAGCTCCTGGGCTCAGTCCATCACCACATTGCTGTTCCCCAGCAGTGGCTCTGCCTGTGCCCTCTGTACCTAGGCTGGTTGCAGGGGAGATAACCCAGGCCGTGGGCAGTGAGCCAGCAGAGCCCCTTGACCAGGTACTATCTATACTCCTGGACTGGTGGCTTTCCCCCAGAGAACAAGGCTAGAAGGCACCAAGCACAGGTTTATTGGACTCAGCATGCTGCAGCTTCTAAGGACAGGGCTGGGCAGTTTGGGGTTATGATATTGTAGGTGTGTGCTTCAAGAGCAGGAACAGAGCCCCCTTAGATCTCAGCTCTGACTTGAGGTCCCAACAGGCTATGAGAGAGAATGGTGAATAGGAAGGAAGGTGACAAGCCCTGTGGGTGTCCACTGGCAGGGGGGTTGGCAGGCCCTGAGAGGGTGGGGAGACAGGCTTAGGACAAGAGTAAGGCCCCCTTTACATGGAGTCCTTTCATGGGCTCTTGGCTACTGAGGTGGGTGGGTCCTTGGTACTGCCAAAGCAGCTGGGCTCTGGCAGGGTCCCAAGCTGCAGCAGTGAGGATAGGAACTAGAGTTGGGCCAGGCCTCTGGGGTCTGCAGGTTTGGAGTCCTGCTGAGCCAGCCTAGAGGTGGGCAGTCCAGCCTGCTGATCCGGGGCATCCATCTGCTCAGACAGGGAAGAGACAGGGCAAGGCCGTGGGGGCCAGACAGCCGGGCCTAGCTTGGCCCCTTGCTGGCCCTCCTGGCCTGACAGAGGGCTGGGTGGCTGGGCCTGGGAGCAGTGCCTGGGTGGAGGAGGGGCCTGACCCAAAGCAAGGGCAAGGGTCACAGGCCAGCTACTGGTGGACTGGCGTGGTGTACACACCTTGTCGAATTTCTTATGACTGTAGACCTTGTTTTTGTTCATGAATGTCAGCAAGATCCAGTCGCACAGGAAGGATCCCTGAGATCAGCAGAGACCAGAGAATAAGGGCCTGCAGACCACCCACCCCCCACCCAGCCCCCAGGTGGGCTCCTTACCACCCCGATGGAGGTCAGAGCAGTAGCCAGGTTAATGATGGTGGGAATCAGGCTGAACTTCCCTGCCTGGGGAGTATCTTGCTTTTAGACCAAACAGCCCTTGGAGCAGGAGTGGGGCTCATGGGAGGGCTGGGGACCAAGTCAGCTCAGGCACCCAGGACTGGCCAGCCCCAGGGGGGTGTGTACCTGTCCGTGCACAATGACATCGATGCGGATTCCGTAGGCTTTGATGAGTGTGCGGGTGGTAGTGCCATTTATCTTGTAATACTTGGCAAACCTAGGGTGGAATGAGCCAGACGCTGTCCAGGCTGCCTGCACACCCTTCCTCTCTGGGGCCACTGCTGGAGGGCCAGGGCAAAGGCACTGTCCATCTCCTGGGCCCAGATGTCCCGAGCACAGGTACCTGAAGTTGTAGCCTGAGGAGGCAGGAACGTGCTTGGGGTCCAGCCTCCGGAAGGAGTACTTGGGGTTACATTCCGACGCAGACAGGTCCAGGTCACAGTCCCAGTTAATAATGGCCCCAATGACACCACCCTGTTGGGGGAATGGGGGATGGCAGGGAACCCTTGTGGCCCAGCAGCTCCGGGCCAGCATACAGGGTGCAGGTGAACACCTAGCCTTAGAGGCCATGTGGGCTGGTGTCAATAACTGAGCAGACACATGCACAGGTGGGTCAGCCAGTCAAGCCTCTCCTTCCCAAATGCAGCCAGGGCTGGTCCAGACAGGAGGGATGTCCTCCTGAGTGGCAGATGCTGCCCAGCCTTGCCGTCCCACCACCCTCACCCTGTGTGCAAGCTCTGTGAAGTTCTCCCCTGCCTGCTCCACAATGAAGCCCAGCTTGAAGATGGGACAGTAAGGGTCGGAGACGTAGTCGAAAGTGCAGTGTTTGAGGTAGTCATCCTTACGGTCTGCGATGTTGCCCCTGAGAAGCAGCAGAAGGCAGAGAGGCCTGTGCCCCCAGGCAGCAGCCCCTCCACAGTGGTCCCGTCAATCATATGCCCTGCTGGCTCTTACTTGGAGAACTGGAATTTGGGGTAGTGGATGCTGTTCTTGATGAGGATGGTGAAATTGGGAGCCATTGAACCCAGAAATTGGCTGAGGAGGCACAGACAGGTTTAGTCACCGGTCCCAGAATCCCCCTTCCACCTTCCTACGCCACTACTCCTGCCCTCCTCCACCCATCTGGACTCAGGTCAGAGAGGAGAAAGGAGCTGGGCACTGCACACCTGACAGAGGCCCCATCCTCCACTGGGCACCAACCGGACACCTCGCAGGTCTTGGAGGCCCCGTGGTAATAGGGTACGCATCTGCCAGTTCGAAGTCCTATGGAGCAGAGGCTGGCTAAGCTGCCTATGGGAGGCAGCTCTGCCCTGCTTCCCCACTGCCCTCCCTGGTGCACACTGACCGTTGCCCAGCATGTCCAGCTCCCCAGCCACACAGTCGTTGTCCGAATGGCAGGTGGCATTGTGGACCCTTATGCTCTAGGATGGAGACCCCAGAGTCAGAGACCAAAACCCTGCAGGTGGTTTAGAGTTCCCCAGGACTGGAGAATGTAAATTAATGTAATTAATACATTAATTAATGCAATCCCCAAAACAACCAGTGGCCTCACCTCTGGGCAGATTCCCAGGGTCTGGAAGGGTGTGACCTCGATCCTGGTGATGATGCTGAATATGCTGCCCCCCTGTTTGCAAAAAGAGGAGGCAGTGGTCTAGACAGATTGCTGTGCCTGTACTGTGGGGGCGCGGGGGCTAGGGGCGCAGGGCGCACCTCGGGGGGCTTCACATACTCCTCCACGTCCCACACTTTGTGCTCCGAGGTGGTGATGCCCTTGACCTTGGTAATGATGGAGCTCTCGGGTCCTGTCTCGCTGTCCTGGTAGCTCTTCTGCACGATGAATACATACCTGCGGGCAGGGCAGCACCGGTCCTAGGCGGCCTGGGCGGGGCTGGAGCCTGCTGCAGCCCGCCCCTGACCCAGAGCTCCCGACCCGACCCACGCCCCTTCCCGGCCCGGCCCGGCCCGGCCCGCGCACCACACGAAGTAGAGCAGGATGAGCAGCTGCACCGTGCGGTACACGACCCCCAGGCGCCGGTTCCTCACCACGATCACCTTGGGCGTCTCGTAGTCCCAGAACGCGGACCAGCAGCCCCGG